TTGAAGATCGAGTGCCTCATGGGTCTCGTGTGTATCCTGAGCACTTGGCGCTTCGCATGCCTCATGTATATTTAGTGTGTGTCATGAATATTCAGTGCCCACTCAGCTCCTTCGTCCCTTCCTATCTGTGCATACACACACATGCGTCACATCTTTATCTATGCCTAACATGGCTCACAAGCATTTGCTTCTACTTAGTTTCAACTATCCTCCTGATTTATTTGTCTTATTTACTAGAGCAGAATCCAACATTTTAATCCCAGCCAATCCACATTACACCAGGTCTGTCTACTAGAATAGTAAACCCCAATTCTGAACCCCACTTTACAATCTGCAAAGGTCTTTCACATTCACAGTCTGATTTCATCTTTGCCACTGTCCCATGAGGCAGGAGTTAACATCCCAGTTCAGAAGATGAGTACGCTAAGGCTCAGAGGTTAAATGGCTTTCCTCAGGCCACACACACACATTCAGTTGGTGGCAGAGAAGACATGAGCTCCAGTCCTCTGGCCTCTGGTCAAGCATGTTTTCAGTTCTATCAGCCCACCCCTCGATCATTTTCACTCCCCTAAGGATCCGCAACTTTTGTAGCAGAACTTGCAGAATTCATACCTTTTATTACAGCTCCTGTCCTGGTACAATCTGATCTGAAGAAGCTGTTACTTCTGGTACCCTGGGTATCAGACAGACAGACACACACACACACACACACACGCCCCACAGAGAAAGGAGCTGCAGCAATGAGCAGGCCTGAGCAGAGTCTCACAGGGCCTTTTCTAGTCAATGACTGCAGACCTAACTGCATGGTCATTATTTCACAAAGGGGGTCCTCAGGAGGCTTCCCTGCAGCCAGTCCCTCCAGAAGCTTATCTGCTTAGGCAGAGGGGCAGCAGTTTGAGCAGAAGAGCATCTGCACCCTGAGAATACCATAGCCCTCTCAGCATTAAACCCCAGGCCAACAACACTCTACCAATCTCTGATTCCTCCCTTTTCTCTCTTTTCAAGGAAGCCAAGGACCAGGGAAAGAATGTTCTATATGAGTCAACCAGCCAGGCAGCACCCAGGGAACCCAATAGCCACTTAAAACAGGAGTAAGCATTCGTGCACGAGCCAGCCTTCCACAGAGGCTGACACGGGCCCACTTCTCCAAGTGTGTGCAATACTAAGGGTGAAGGAGTGGAGGGGGCTGGCCCAGGGTCCTGCAGCCTGGCCCACCAGGGCTGCCTGTGTGCGTGCTGCTGCTGCTGCTGGCTGCACAGCCTCTGCAGAGCTGCCTCTTGCTGTTGCTGCCGATAGTCCAAGGGGTCTCAATAGCTGGGTGAGAGGAACATCACACTGGGTGTGGCTCTGCCTCAGGTGAGGCTTGATGTGTGACTAGTGGAAGTCAAACTAAAAACAAGGATCACTTTAATTATTTCATTTAGCCAAAAGATCCCTTCTGGAAAATGATTCCATTGTGAGGAAGTCCTCAAATACATGTTTCCAAGCAGAACTGAAGCTTGGATTTCAGGCACCAGAGGCTGGTAACCTCTGGTTTCCTCTGGTTCAGAAACCACCTGGCTTCTCCCCTATTGAAGAAAGGTCCTCCCAGACCATTGCAGATCGGAGGTGGGACTCTCCTGTGGGGTTAACATGGCCGTGAAGGGTAACAGTGACCCACACATTGAGGCCTGGCATGATGCCCATCAGCTTATGTGTGTGATGGCACAAGATCCTCACAGGGGCCTCTGGACCATACCGTTGGACACTGATGACTCGCCAAAGGTGATTGACACAGCTGGACTTAGGCAGATACATTTGTAAAGTCCAGCCTGTGCTCTTGGCAAATTTGCTATCTCTGGCCAGGTGCAGATTTAGAAGTTGTACAATCCAACTCCCTCCAATAGCACACATTAAAAAGAAAGAGGCACTAGACTGGAAAGTAAAGGGACAATGATGTTCCAGACAGAAGGTGCTGCACATGGCAAAAAAAAAAAAAAAAAAAAGACACAAAAGCAAGGGATAAAACAGAGTGCTTGGAACACAGCAAGAGATTCAGAGAATTCAGAACTTATCTCAGTTGTAAGAGAGCCAAGGTCGCTCAGGCAGGGAAGGGCTGATCCCTACAGAATCTGCCATGGCATCCAGGTCCTATCCCAAGAGGCTAAGCCATCATCCAAGGATTTTGGATTTTATCATAGATGAATTGAGGTTACAGAACTTGTCTAAGGCTCAATGGTAGCTTTTAAGAACCAAAAATACCCAGACCCCTCATCAAGGTGACGCCTGTCTTTTCCATCATCCCACCGTGCGTGTCTTGGGCTGTGCGGCTTCTGGCAGAATTTTCTTCTGCAAGCAGGAGAAACAAGGCAAGCCCAGACTTAAGATGAAGATGAAGACAAGGAGTCAGCATGGAGCTTAACGACCAGGCCTCCCCTGAGCCCGGGCCTGGCCTAGAACCACCCACCTCCCACTACTCACTCTGTGATTTGTGACCTGAAAGCAAAAGGCTCAGGAATTTGACCCAATGGTTGATCTTCCCAGGAGAAGGAAGTCTGAATGGGGAAGAGAAAGTGATGCCCTAGTATGTTGAATTTCAGGATATGAAGAACATGTTCAGACAGCATCTGTGATGGTTTCAACTGCTCCTTGAGTTAGGACCTGCCATTTGGCATCAGAATGACTCTAAACTTTAGGCCACCAGAGAGGGATCCTTTAGTGAGAAGTCGTATGTGTCTTTAAGCAAACGTTACATATTGATGTTTTCAGTTAGCAACTTGAGAAGAGACTGACTTTTTAAATGACAGGATGAACCTGAATTACCTTAAAATTGTTCATTCATTAAATTGGTAGATACTAAACCTGAGCTATATACTAAACCAGGTGCCAGGATGCCAGGATGTGTGCGCTGAGTGCCACCATATGCTTCAAGGAGATGCATGCAAGCTGAGTGCTTAAATGAAAAAAATATCAGAAACGAATGCAATATGTAATATAGAGTACAGTACATATATTAAACATTAGTCAGAAAAAACAAGGAGAGACAAGTGAATACACGTGAGGCTGAAGCTGGCCTTTTGGACTGAGTTAGGCTGGCAAAGTATTACATTAGCCAGGGTTTCCCAGACTAGCTTGTGCTGAAGCTGTCATCTGTGGTCCTGCATCTGGAAGACGTCCTGGTGTGGGGATTGTGCACCACCTAGCGTTGGCATAAAGCCACTGTACATATCACAAATGTTGGAAGGAAGGCAACCTCCCCCAAAGAAATATGTGGAGCTCATAATTTTTCAGTGCACTGCCAAATGCCATAAATGCTTATATATGTTATCTCATCTAGACTGTATTAGAGCCCTATGCGGTCGATATTGTCATCACCATGTTATTGATGAAGCCGCAGAGATTCAAAAAGGTTAAACCATTTGATCAAAGTCCCCTGAACTAAGGGCCAATGCAGGGAATTGAACCTCCCTCCCCCTGTACTCTGTTAACTTCCTAACTTTTCTGGTATCGAGGAAAGGATTAGGCATCTCATGACCAGGTTTAGAATTCTGGGATGATGGCTCAGCCTCTCAGGATAGGACCCAGACGCCATAGCAGATGCTGTGGATATCAGCCCTTGCCGGCCTGAGTGGTCTTGGCTCTCTTACAATAGAGATAACTTCCGGCTTCTCTGAACCTCATGCTGTGTTCTCGGCACTCCGTTTCATCCCTTGCTTTAGTGTCTTTTTTTTTTTTTTTAAGGTGAAGTTTCACTCTTTGTCGCCCAGGCTGGAGTTCATTGGCATGATCTTGGCTCACTGCAACCTCTGCCTCCTGGGTTCAAGTGATTTTCCTGTCTCAGCCTTCTGAGTAGCAGATTACAAGCGCCTGCCGCCATGTTCGGGTAATTTTTTTTTCTTTGTATTTTTAGTAGAGATGGGGTTTCACCACGTTGGCCAGACTGGTCTCGAACTCCTGACCTCAGGTGATCCACCCGCCTTGGCCTCCCAAAGTGCTGGGATTACAGGCGTGAGCCACCGCGCCCGGCCCTAGTGTCTTTTTTCCCCCCCATGTGCAGTACCCTCTGTCTGAAACATCATTTTTCTTTTATTTTCCTACCTAGTGCCTCTCTCTTTAAGATGGTTAAAGGGAAACTTCTGCCAGGAAGCCTCCCCTGGCCCTCTCAGGTTGTGCTAGTTGGCTCTCTGTGTTTTCACAGCACTGTGTGCATTCCTACGTCACAGTGCACCACAGAACACCTGTCAGACATCTGAACACAGAACACCTGTCAGTCAACAACCCCCAGGAGACTGTCAGCTCTGTGTCCCCAGCACCTAGCAGATGCTCGACCCATTGCAAGAGCTTGATAAATGGGTGTGTTTTTGTTCTTTGAAGTGGATAGACTGAGATTTTCTGGATGGATTTGAAGTGGATTTGATAGTCTATAGGTCAAGTAAACAGACTGATACCTGTCACAAGCAGGAAGCCCTTTGAGAACTCAGGTGCTTTAAGTCCACTGGGTTCCCCTAAATCCAATCATATGGAGATATTGTCAGCAGAAGATTACCCCATGATCTCAGATGTCAGAGCCAGCCCACCCTACCCGCACTCTGCCAATTCTCTTATTTTCTGTGTTTCTGAAAGCCTGCTATATTCCTGACCCCATGTCTAAACAACTGAAATTTAGCCTATGTCTCTATCAATTTGCAGATGCTGGGACTAAATGTCTAAGGATATTTCATTCCCTCTTCAGACCTTGAAACCTAGATGAGAACATATGGCACATATTACCCCACATATGAGAACATGTGGCATGTCTACGGTCACTTATGTTTGAGGCCACAGAGGCAGTGTTGTGTAGAGGCTAAGCACACCAGCTCTGGAGTCAGAATGTTTAGGCCATGTCAGGTAACATCTCTGCTTGTAACAAGGTTGTGGCCCCAGGGAAGGACGGCTGGCTTTTACAAATCTGATGCAATCTTTTTTTTTTTTTTTTTTTCCTTTACTGCCTCCCTTCCCTTTCTGCATGCTGGCTGTCCAAGGGAGGGGCTGCAGAAGAGAAATCTTCCCAGCTGAGAAGGTGATGGCTGGTGAGGCGGTTCTGAAGATCAGTGAGTAGGGTGGATGTAGGTTGGTCTCAGCCAAAGGCTACTCTTGGACCACATGCAGAGTCCTCAGTGAAGGCAGATGAGACTCAGCCTTCTCAGGAGTACAATGCCATCATCATCCACTGGACATGTTAGAAAAGCAAATGATAATCAGTTCAGGCTCACCTCTCACCTGGGCCTCCCCACCCCACAATCCTGGGGAGCCGTGGAGACAGAACATTAATGGATGGTTTAGCCAGAGGGACCATACCATCCATTAGGAAGTATAAATCAACCTGAAATATAATCAACCTTGACTTCTCACAGTGCCTATGAATGATGACAACCAAATACAGGCTGATTCTATATTCAATTCTCAAAGAAATTTTTTTCCCATGAATTCAATTTGGCATGTTGTGCCAGCTCTGTGCAGGTGTGCAAACTGGCAGGGTAGCAGAAATCCATTTAAGCATATTCTGCATGTTTACATTTATGGGACCGTTGGTCTGACAGCTTTATGTGGGTGTGATGAACTACCCCTCTAACTCATATACAGGCGACCTCTGGGGAAACTACTTCCCAGGCCAATCCCAAAAAATGATAAAGCTGAGAACAGTGAAGTTACCAATGGTGTCAGGGAAAGCCTCAGAGTGAAATCCAACAAGGTGGCTGCCATTCCTTGCAGACCTTGGGTGGCCCTGATCCTCACTGAGCCAGAGATGGTCAAAGCTGGAGGCAATCTCAGAGACCACCTAATTCCACTCATGTCACATGTGGGGCAGCTGAGGCCAAGATTTAATGTGATTTGCCAATGGTCCCCAAGCTAGTTACAAGGAGTGTTGTGGCTTCGATCCAGTTCTCAAACCCCAGTACAGTTCTCTTCCTGTGATCACTCTTTGCCCACTGGACTCTGCTCAGTGTTGGACTGTCCTGTTTCAGGTGCCACACTTGTGTTGTCCTATTATCCCAGACCTGAGCCTGCCACTATGGATGGACTACCTGGGATCAGGAGTGATGACTCAGCACTCAAGAGTGGGGCTAAGCAGTTCAGGGATGGGCTCAGGTAATTCTGTCCATTGGCCCTCCAGTGGAATCCCACTTCACACCCACTTCACACCGAATCTTGGAGGGATTGAGGGGTGACACAAACTGCAGGTCTCAAAAGCTTGCAAAGTAATTCCATAAAATGGACATTTGAGATTAAGAAAGACATTCCAGCTTTTACTGAATCATTTCTAAGCGCCCTAACCAGAGGAAGGGTTGCAGAAAAAAAGAGCAGAGGATTGAACTCCAGACTCTAATGTCCTTGAAATGAACATTACCTAGCGCCACACCTGGCACCTAGCATCTGTTCAATATATCAGTGCATTTTGAATGATCAGGGAAGATAATCAGTTTTATACATGAATTTGTCTTCTCCTAGGCATATCACCTCATTCACTTAACAAACTGTATGAGATTTGGGAAGACGTCACAAAAACAAGACTAAATATAAAACCAGATGCTGCGCATGTGGGGAAGGCTACGCTGGCCCTTCAGTGAGGTTTATTTGTGGCCTGTAGGCCCTGCCTCATCTGACCCTGATCTCCTGAGACTCATCTTGAGCCATTTCTCCTCATTCTCTGTGTGCTAGCCTGGATTGCATATACTGTTTCATCTAGCCCAGACCTTTCCTACTCTCCCTTCTACCAGCTTGTCTTTGAGGCTTCAATTTCAATGTCACCTTCTCCAGAAAGTCCTTGGTAGAATCCCATCTAGACTAGTTCTCCCATTACTGTCTACAGTATAGTACAAAGAGCTACAGCTCTTTTTTGGACCCAGGTCCTCACCCATCTGTGTCCACATCCTGCTATGCCTGCACAGTGATATGAAAGAGGAGCAAATGGGCTTGGGCATGTGAGTGCTTTGGACAACAGAATGACTTGCAGGTGTGCCAGACTGAAGCCTTGGTTTCAGAGGCCTTGCACGTTTAAGCTCGCTTTCTTATATTTCTCCTGTTTCCCTGAGAAGAGCAAACCTAGGCAGGGTTTCCTCAATTCAGTACCCAGCAAAGCCCTCAGCCAACCCACAGATGCATGAGCAAGCCAGGTGAAATCCACTGACAACCAGCCATGTGACTTGGAGGCTAAATAAGTACATGTCATACATATGCTGCTGAAGTTGTGTAAATTTGTCACATGGCATTATTGCAATCAGAGTTACTGGATATACTAAGTTAGTCTCCCAATCCTTTCATATGTGCCTGCCACAAAGTGGGTGCTCAGAAAACATCTGATGGATGAATGAATGAGTGAGTGTAATGAATGTAGTGCTCTATTTCAAATTCAGCAGAATAAAGGGTCCCCAGAGCTCTTCTCTTCACAAGAGCATGGTCCTGCAAGGGCCACCTCTACCTAAGATGACATGAGCCACTTCCTTGGGGCAAGACTTACCTCTGACTTCTGGAGGTATATCCCTTTGCCATCTTGGGTTAAGTTTTGGAAGACATCTGTGAAAATGCAGCAGAAAAGAAGCACAGCTAATGTGTATATTGGAAACATTATGAATTAGTTCCTCCCATGTATCTCACCTTAACCACATCCATTCGGAAAACGTGAGGGAACCCAATGTCAGACTACACGTGACCACATGCAGCCACACCTATAATAAGTGAGCCACTTCAAACCTTTGCCTCTGGAGTAAGGCAGGGAACAAATGAGTTTGGGTATCTGCAGCCAGGCCTCACAGGCACTTGGCTGGAGTTCCTAATAGCTTCCCTGGATCGCTGTTTCTGGGATGGCAACTGTCTTCTCTTGTGCTTAAAATAGAGACAGGTAGGAAGTCATGGGCAGCAGAGGAAGCCCTGGCCCTCCCCCACTTCCCGCCAGCTCACCCTCCATGTTCTCTACACGCAGCATCAAGTGGACAAAGCTGACAAAGTCCATCTGGAGGCTGGGGCCGCCATAGCGGATGAGCATCAGCTGACAGACATCATCACTGAGCACGATTCCTGCATTGAGCACAGGCTCCTGCTGTGGGTGCTGGGAGCTTGCACCCAGCTCCCCTCCTGCCCAAGGCCCCTTCAATTGTCCCTCCACTTTAGGGACCTGAATCCTGATAGCATGGAAATCTTCTTTTATAGGGTTCATTTTGAATCATTTAATTGTTTAACCAATTTATTTTATTTAATCCCTATTCCTCACCCCTGCCTATTAAGGCAATCAGCCTGGGGCTCTTTTCATCAAGGATGTGATTGGCCTTCAAGAAAGGAGGCAATCTGCTAAGTGCTCAAAAGGACCTGCTCTGGAGCCTGGTAGTCCTGGATTTAAACCCCAGGCCACTAGCTTCAATCTCTTCCTTTGTGAAGTGAGGATTATAACAAAGTGGTGGTGTTGAAGATTAAATGAGAAGTTGAATGTGCAAACCGTCCATCAATTTGGCTCCGATCACAGTGACAGTCATAAAAAATGTTTGTGTTGATTGCAGAGCTACGTCTTTGAGAGTCACACTGTGCATTCGAGTTACTACAGCATGCCATGCATCCCCCCTCCCCTGCTTGGTGAGTGTGCACCCTGCCCATGGGTGCCCACAGCTCCAGCTTTTCCTGTGCCTACCTGCCTCCCTCATGGCAGTCTGCAGCTGTGCCCAGCTCAGGTATCCTGACCCATTGTCTCGCTTGTAGAAAACCTTCTGCAAAGAACCAAATAAGAGGTTCAGGAAGCCAGGCATTTCCAAGCGCCATCTGAGAGACCCTGTGTGCCCCATCAGCACCGCAGAGGGGCTGTTGAAGATATCTGAGGCTCCACATGCAGGGCCTGCTGCCAGGATAAGGATATGGCAGAGTCCATGCCAGGATCCCACCACCTCATGTTTCCTACAGAACAAGGCTTATGAGAAAGAGAAAAGTCTTTTTCTCATGGGGTGTAGACAGCCTTGGTGTGGGTAAATGTGCTTAACATAAGCACATTATCCACACTCTAAAGTGATTCCAGTTTTCTGACTCAGGAGACAAGTGGGAGAGTTGTGAGTTGTAAGCAATGATTGGAAGAGCAAGAAGGAGCAATTTTATGACAGACTTTAAATGCCAAGTGTGCCAAGGAGTTTGGTCTTTCTCTGAAGCCCATGGGAGTCTTAAAAAGCATTTTGAAAGAAAGCAGCATGATCAGATGTGTGTTTTGGAACTTCAGGAGACTACTGCCACAGGCTCCCTGAGTTTGGAAGAGATCGATGGAAGAAATGCTCATGGATGGGAGAGTGGAGAAGGTTTGGTGAGTTGGATATAAAGGGCTGCAGAGGAAAGAAGTGTCTCGTATAGCTTTGCAGAATTGCCATTTCTACACCATCTTCCAAAGAGCGGTGGTTTGACTTGTTCTTACCTGATAGAGCTTCAGCTGCTTCCACAGGTCCCTGAATTCCTGGATGCTCATAGTACCCGAGGCATTAAGCTGATGAAAGGGTTAAGGTAAAAGCTACCAGGGAGAGTTCCATCCATGCTTTGGAGGCAGTGACCCGCCCTCCACAAAGCAATTGGCAATCTGTGGATGGCCTCATTCAATATCTCATATCTGATCTCACCAATTGGCCTTATCTCACTGGTCAGATAGCCCAGGGCTCCCTCCATCCTTGCTAGGGAAAAGCAGAATAAGTCAGAGCACAGCAGTACTGGGAGAAGCGGTGGTGATGATAGTGATGACCACAGCTAGCATTAAGTGAGGCAGGATATTTTGACATGGCCAATTAGATGTGATTTAAATTAAAAAATAGTAACTTTTTTCATTATTATTTTTTTTTAAAAAAAAAAGCTTATGGAAAGAGTCAGGCACAGGGTGGCTAAGGATGCCTTTTATGTTTTTTAAGTTTAATGGTTGGCCTTGTAGACCATGTCCAGATACCCTAGCATCGGAGACATTGGGTCAAAGTACCACCATACCCCATCTCTGTTTGAGCCCTCGCCATGAATCTATCACTGAGTTACACACTTCACCTGTAGTAGGTGAGGTAGGCATTAACTCCCCCATGTTCTAGCTGATGAAATGAGCACTTGGAGAAGGTCTGATCTTGTTCAGGTTCATACAGCTGGTTACAGGGCTGGGACCTGCCCCATGCCTGTACCTGTACACCTAATCCTGCACTGTCTCTGAGTTTCTGCAGACTGTTTTTGTTTTTACAACCTCCCTTAGGCTACCTATTCAGTATGTCTCTCCATAGTATGGATGATCAAACTTTGATTACAATTATCCACTTAGAAAGGCAGTGCGTTTGCTAGAAATATTGCAGGGTTGAGAAACAGGACGACTGAGTTCACGGCATGTTGTTTAACTTCCTAGAGCCCTGGTTTCCTGGTCTATGCATGGGTGCAGCCACCACCCAGTTATTAAATGGAAAACATATGGCCCTAAGGCTTTGGAAAGGCTCTTGTAAACCTGAAGAGCTGTTACTAACCACCACCTTATAGCTGCCTCATCCTCATTCCCAGGAAATGAGATTATTGTGATGGATGGCCGATATTGGTCACCTATTAGATGATAGCTCTGTTCCCAAATTTTATCTGTACTGTTCCATTTGCATTCCCACATTAATCCTACCAAGTAAGTTTCAACACTCTCTCCATGCTCCAGATGAGCATAATGAGGCTCAGCGAACTTGTCCAGGATCCGCAACTGGCAAGGGCTGGGGATGGGATTCAAATCCACTCTTCCTAGCTCCAGAGTGAAGCTCTCAACCAAAAGCACCCATCCACCCACAAACCTGAAAAGATACGTCCAGTAACGCCAGGATCCCCTGGCAGGCTTCCAGGCTGAAGAGGGGCTGTGTGCTCCCCAGACCTGTAAAGGAACAAAAAGAGGCCACATGGGGGCTAGCCCCAGGTCTGCAAATCCCTTTTCTGAGCAGGAAGAGGTAGTGCTGGGTGGGCCAGCTGTAGGCTCTGATGACCACCATGTATGTGGACTGGGCAGAGTGAGAATGGAAGGTAATAGAGAGAGCATGGTGGGTGACAGTTATTCCTGCACCCATGGACCAAGTCAAATGCTATAGGGATACCTGGCATGGCTTTGCTTTGCTTACATAGAGGGCCAGATGAGCATGCCTTTTGTACCTAGGGAGGGCCAGGATCCGAGAGTCAACTTGTTCAAGCTCCCATCCAAATTGGAGGATTCTTTCCTCAGGTTTGTTTCTTTTTTCTTTTTTTTTTTTGAGATGGAGTCTCACTCTGTCACCCAGGCCGGAGTGGCATGTTCTTGGCTCACTGCCACCTCCACCTCCCGGGTTGAAGCAATTCTCCTGCCTCAGTCTCCTGAGTAGCTGGGATTACAGAAGCACACCACCACACTTGGCTAATTTTTTATATTTTTGGTAGAGACAAGGTTTCAGTATGTTGGCCAGGCTGGTCTCAGACCCCTGACCTCAAGTGATCTGCCCACCTCGGCCTCCCAAAGTGTTGGGATTACAGGTGTGAGCCACGACACCGTCTCTCCTCAGGTTTCTTGATGGATGGTCTCATCAGTTACGGGTGCTCACTTTTTCACATTGATGAAGAGCTACAGTCAGGAGAAACTTGTTCCATTAAGTCCAAAGGAACCTCCTATAATATTGGCTCACTGGCCCTAGTTTCACCTCCAGAACACCATAAAATGATATTTGTCTCTTCTTTGACTTCTGCTTTACCTTTTAAAGTATTTCTCAAACCACTCCTTAGATATGATGATTTCTAAACCCTCAACATCCTTTTCTGAGCCCTACATTTTGCCAGTATCTCTTCAAAATATGGTACCAAGATTTGAAAACAGTCTTCCAGATGCAATTTGATTGAACAGAACACAGTGGACCTATCACCTCCAGTTTTCAGTCTGCATTTCCCAAATTATGTTTCAAAGGAGATTTTCTGCAGACAAAGAGTTCTGTGGTCAAAGAAATGTGGGATACTTTGCATCTATTAATGCTTTCCTTCATTCACCATACACTTTACTGTGTGTGAGGTACTGAAGACCCAAGTACAACGGACCACGGAAACTAACCCCTTTATTTCATGGAGCACTTACTAAGCCTCTTGGCTTCCAATGTTTCCTGGAACACAACCTTAAAAACATACACCTAAATGTGCCCATTAAATGCAGCCTGAGTGTGTACAAGCTAATTTAGCAACAACTCAAAACTATTAGTTCATGTCAGCTAGATGTCAACTAAATTCACCCAATAGCTTTCACATAAACTGCCACGAAAATGAGGTCTCTTCTGTTAAGAACTTGTGCTACCATTTTAAAATGGTATATAACAAAATGGTTGATTATCTTCCTGACTACATTTCATCTTTTTGGTTTGGGCACAGCTTGTTGAAAACATTCTGAATTTCAATTCTGCTATCTATTATATTAATGATTTCTTCCAGCTTTGTGCCATCTGCAGCTCCAATAAGCCTATATTCCATGTCTTCTTCCAAGACATTAATAAAAATTGGGGAAATGAACAGGACCAATAGCAGACAGAATCTAAGAACTCGTATCTAAACATCTAAGCATATAGACTCTTGCCTGTAACTGGATAGAATTATCCCTCTAGTTTTATATTTGTATAACTCTTGGGAATGGTGATAAGATTTGTTGTGAATACATCTACTTTTATTATTTTCCAACCCACATTTTATTATTTATCATGGGAGACTCACCAAATATTTTGCAAAAATCTAGTATTTCTCTGATCTATCCATCTAGAACCCTCTTACAGGACTAAATGGAAGCGATTTGTTCACAAATATTTCAGAAAACCATTCTGTATATATGCAATCAAGAACTTTAAAAACTTTTAAATGTGTACAAGCCATTGTTTCTAGGTAATTTCCCTAGAATCAGCCTAGAATGTTTTTTCAGTGGGGAGGGAAAGTTCTAATGTTCTACAATTCCTAGAGTCTTCCCTTATGGATATTTTACTGATAACTGAATTTGGCTTTGAGAAGCTTTCTGCAAATTCGTTCAAAGCCTGAATCACACAATAGTCTGCACTGTAATTTTCCTGGGTTTGAAATCTTGGCTTCATATAAAGGAGAAGCAATCATCTAACTTCTGTAGCAAATACTCTGGTTGTTTTACTTTTTTTACTTTGAAGTTTATTTTTCTCCCTGGAGAAATCAGCCTATTTCTTTCATGTTCTTCTCCCTCCAAATATATGTATAAAATATTTTATATGGATGTTAAGCCTAATAATTGATCCCAGGCTTCATATGAAAGCATCCATGCTACCCATTTGCAATTCTTCTAGGTGGTATGCTCTCTCCTTCCAGATTTTTGTAGCTTGATCAATTTAACATGAGTTCATCAGATAGTTCCCTAGGTAGGCTAGTTAATACTTAATATTTATATCCCAGGTTGAGGAAATGGGTGCAATTCTTCCACATGAAATTGATATGCCAAGAAAGAGATACTCAGTTACTTCTTTCTGACTAGCAAAATGGCAGAAATCTTCACTTTCACTGCCATATATCTCTATACCCAAAGTAAGCAAAATAATAATAATGGTGATGATTTTCAAAGCTGAATAAATTTCTCTACTGCTTTTTCAGATCACATAATCCACCCTTGTGTAAAATAGAGCCACTGGTTGAGACCAGCACCCGGTAATTCACACATCCCACCAAAGGAAAGAGAAACAAAGCCAGAGCTTAGAAAAGTTGTGTCCCCTCCGAGTACAGGATGGCTCTCAAACACTTACTTGACCAGGTCACGTGGTTCAGGATGTTCTGCAGCTGAACTGCATTAATTTCTGGATACTGAATAGAAAGCAGATTGGCAAGAAAAAGTAATTGTTACTGAAGGCTCATTAGATGGCAGAGGGAACATATGACTGGACATAAAATTAAACTGGGATTTTCTAAGTACTTCATGATGCTTTTTAACTGGGTACCAAGCCCAGAGAAACCTGGCAAGGCAGGACTTTTAAGTAGGCTTCTAGAGAACAGTGATTCTCGAAGGTGCTATCCAGGTGCTTCTGAAGTTTAGCTAACAATTTGGTTTGAATTTCATTCTTAATAAAATGTCATTAGTCAAAACTCTAGATTTTAACCTTAGAGTTTACTAAAAGAAACTCTTTATATGAACATTTGACTTTAAAATATACCAATGAAATATAAGTATCAAACATTTGATGTTTTTAAAACTGATGCATATTCATAACATGCTATTTTTAATTGTTTTATATATATTGGGGTTATCTATGAGACTTCATTTGATAAAAGGATTGCAGCATCAAATGTTTGGAAACCACTGGTATGGAAGAAAACATTTATAAACAATACATGTAAGATTCTGATTTATCCTCTCCAGCTACATTACACAAAATTCCAGATGGGCAAGGCAGGTAAGTTGTGACTTTAAATGTCACTAACACAAGGGGCTCAGGTTCTCTGTTTTAGTGACATTGCTCCAAATATCAGACAAGATTTCCAGCATGTCTCTCACCTGCTTCCTAAGTGTCTTGTAGGTTAGGGAGAACGTGGCCTCCAGAGCCCTGCACTCGTACCATTAGCTCTTGCTAGACTCAAATCTGGGTCAGTCCAAGAGAAGAAGCCACAGGGAGTAAGTGTGTGCCCCAGGCTCTCCCCTTTCTTATCAGGCTCATCCCCTCTCCAGGTGACCACTAAAGGGCCCCTTCTCCCTGGGCTCCCCTCCAATGGTTCTCCCTAAAGCCCCCAGGATTTGTCATTGTCATGCTCTCCTTCCCCCCACCCCACCACCCCTGCCCCACTCCCAACTCTGACTCTCTGCTCTGCCACATCCCATTTTCTCATGGATGAAAGATTAAAGTTGCTTTCCTACAACTAATCAACACAGCTTTCAAGAACAGAGAATCACTTTACAGGAGACTTCTAGGGCAATGGCTCTACTCATTTGTCTAAAAACTTGAGGACTTTAATAGAAAGTGGCACTTGGGGGAATAGGTAGCCTTAAATCACAGTTTCTATGCAGCCTCAAGCAGATACAAACCTATGCTTTGATGAAATGATATGCTCCACTTTGTCCCCTGTTCTTCCCCACCCTCCTCCACCACACCTGTTCAACTCACCTTTTCAAAGAATTTGGTGAAGCATTCATTCTGCCCTTCATTTTGATCTTCTATCTCCTACAGGAAGAGACACGTAGAAAGACATAATTATTCACCTGTATAAATGGACTTTCATGTACACCCTAATGTCTCATGGCTTCCAGGCTTCTGAAATCCATGAGCTTAACTTTGCATTGTCTTTAATTTTACACCATAGCATTTATAAACAGCCCTTGCTTCTCCAATTTTCCCTGACTTTGGGAAAGTCACAAACAGTGAAATGGACAAAAGAAACACCAGATAAAGAGAAGCAGAAGAAAGTAGAGACGTAACTCACATAGCTAGCACTCTGGACCCTCAGTGACAAGGACTTGACCAGTGGGTAGTTCTCTACTCTTTGTTGGTGCAAAAACAGCAAAGCCCAGGGACTGATAGGATACACCAGGTAATGTCTGCCATAAAACAGGGTCTGTAAGGATCTGTATCTCTCCTCCCTGGCTCCTTAACTTGAAAAGAGAAACCCAACATCCTGGCTTGGAAAGCAGTCCCAGCCATACGGAATTCCACCTGACTACTTACCTTCGAGATGACAACACCAGAACTGCTGCCAATTTCACTGAGAACAAACAAACAAAGAAAAAAACCCAGAGTTTCCTCTTGGGAATTTCTTGACCAATGTTCCCCCTCTCCGGGGAGCTCATCTTCCATGTTCCTTCACCGAGGCACCACAGGGGCCTGCCCAGCTCTCACACCTTATCTCCCGCTTCCCCTTAAAGAGTACATTCCAGCCCTGTGCATAGCATACCACTTGTAATTCCCTGCTCCCTCATCTAATTAGTCTTAAAAGATGAGTATGAGACTTAGTGGTCTGACATGGCAGTGGGGCCTGAGATCAAGCCAAACTACCTGTGGCCAAGACATAAAAAACAAACAAAAACAAAACAAAACAAAAAACACAAAACCTGGCAGGTAAAACAATCATAGGCAAAATAATGTGTTTGGTTGGGATATGTGCACATTAATTGAACTGTGTACACTAGTAGAATGGAAGCCTGCTAGTTTATGGCAGCCTCCCCTCATCTGAACAACCCTTATACATCTTTTAATAGTCACCTCCTCCCTGAAGCTACTCCTGCTTCCCCCAGGACCATGGGAGTTGGCTCAGATTCTCCTCTTTGAGACTCTTCTAACACCCTGTGCATATAAAATGAGTATACTGGATGCACTGGAAGATCAATAACTTGCTCATATATCTGTGTCCTTTCCAAACTTTGAACTTCTGGAAGTTCAAAGGGCAGGGGCCATGTGTGCTTTATCTTCTTCTCTATAATGTCTAGCAAGGTGTTAGTTTGTGAGTATAAGGAGGGCGGGAAGGAAGGGGAGGGATGTCCTTCATGCAGAAAGTAACCTGGTCTCCTGCTCTTCCCATATCTCTTCTGTCTCAGCAGCAGAAACCCTGGTCTCTGCCATTTCCAACCTTGCCCTCCTTGCCTGCCCTAGCCCGAGCAGTCCCCAACCTCTAGGAGAGGCCTTGTGTCCTTACTAAAAGATGTGCTTCCTGGAGAAGACCCTGAGGATGAACTCTGACTTCTGGTGAGCCTCCAAGGTGCAGGGCACGATGAGGTATGTCCCTGGATCCAGACACAGCTCCTGACTCACTTCTTTCTCCCTGAGAAACTTATCAGGCTGGCTCAGGGGAGCGTTTCTCTGGAAAAACGTGGGGGGCAGTCTCCTCTGGCCATCATGGTACTGTGGGTAGAAGACAGAAAAATACCAGGGGAGGAAATGACCCAGGGCTGTGGCCAGGTCTGAGGCCCTCAGCTCTGAGCCAGAACTAAGGTGGCCCTGATCTGCCAAATCCAATGTTCCACAGTGGAGGATGAAACAAGAGGGGAGGAGAGGCAAAAACCAGAGTATGTGTGTGGCAGGCTGCACCTTTGTAGAACCTATCAGGGGATACATAAATGCACGTCATTTGATTTGACTTACCTTAAAAACAAAACCAGAACAAAATGATAGGAAATATGTCCTTGGGCCTGCAGTTTCCATTTTACAGTGAGGGTTCTGAGGCTTAGACAGGTTAGATCATCTGCCCAAAGTCATCAGCTAGTTACAGTCCCAGCCAGATGGGAATTCAGGACAGCGGAGCTCCATGCTCATGTTCTTTATGCTGCCTGATGCTGCCTCCATGTATGTGATGTGGCACGACTGATGGTCACAGGTACAGATGGACCACCACCACCTGCCACCTACACCTCACAGCTATACACAGATAAAATTCCATGTCACTCAGGGAAAACACCCTTGTAAAGGACAAAGAGAACTGCGCAAGCGCTCAGAAGACCTGAATCAGAGCTCTGATTCCAACATTTCTTGGGTATCTTTTTTGTTTTATCTGATTCGTATTCTCTTTCTCTCTCTGTCTCTCTGACTCCTTTGTTTCTCCATCTCTCCCTATTTTTCTCTCTTGCTTCCTCACCCCTTTGTTCTCGCTCAGGGTTGTAGAGTGCGAGGAAACCCACACCAGGATCCTCTTTCCGGTTTATACACAACTGCTAACCAAGACGCCACCCATCCACATAAACAGATATTTAGCAAATTCCTCCGTACTTTGGAAATAAAATATATATCCTTATGATGTAGGCATTCTTTTATAAGACAATGAGAACTAGGAAATCATCCAATTGCCCTCTTTGCCATGAGCTACTAGGAATCTCAGATCTAAATTGTATAATGAGCCATAGTAATCGTGCTAGGTTTAGTTTTCCTGGTAGAAGCAACTGTCTACCTAGCTCTCATCTCTTTGTCATTTTCTCTTGGCATTTACATTTTGTAACTGATTTGTGGGTTTCCTCTGTTTATACTTGTTTATCGTAGGTTGACCCAAATTCTGTTCAGAAGTAGGCATGACATCAGTAACTTTTCCTTTTTAAATTAATAGGCAAATTTGAGAGTGGGCAGTGTTGTGAGGAAAGCAACAAAAAGAGACCCAGCATAAAATGATTTCTTTATAATAGTCCTTTTACTTGATTCGATTGAACCTGAGAAAATTAAGCGTTTACTCCTGTTTTCTCTGGGAAATAAAATAATAGCCGCCTCCCTCAGAGGATGGGATTCCTTGGGCCTTCCTACCTGACCCCTCCCAGGTGCCACAGCAACTGAAGCCAGACATGCTCTTGTCCCTCTGCCCATGCTCCTGCCACATGTCCTCAAGCCTTTGTCCCTTCTCCCTGGGGAGGTGGGCTGCATGGTCTCTGATGCCCCATATGTTTTAAGTCCATCTTACTTTGGGTTTCAGGACCCAGTCAAGATTGTCATTGATCATCTTTCCTATGCTGTGATGGCCTTCAATATTAGCCCTAGGTATTTGTGTAGGAATTTAATAAATTTTACAATTTATTGGTTTCATGCTAGGCTCTGAGACCTCCCTATAGATGCATGAGGATCTTTTGGGGGTCTTTGAATAAAAAGATTAGCAGATGCGCTTTACTTTCACAAAGGCACAGGAAGTTGGCAGACATTCTCATCACCAGACATTATCATAGCTTCTTACGCAGTATAAGCCTGCTGCAGTCTAACTGAAGCCCATGGAGGCTTGGCCACATGTGATATCACCCGAAACTAGGGCCACCTGGTTAAGGACAGAACTCACCATGTTCATCTGGAAAAAAAAAAAAAAGAGAGAGAGAGAGATCTCATTAGGCAGGGAATCTGGCTCTTTCATAGGCCAAATCCTGAAGAGAAGCTGATATGCAAGGCTCCACCCAGAAGCCCTGTCCCCTCCCACAAGACCTGCGGTTCTATCAGTGACATTTTAATCCATCATCAGAAATTCTGGAAAAGAGGAAGGGAAAGAATGCTTGGCTTCTGGGGAGAGGAAAAGGAAGCCAGTATTGATTGTACTAACTACCAGGCACAATGACAAGCACAACCACAGAATCCTCTTTTATTCCAGCTTTTGCCTAAATATCATTGTCCCCATTTTACAGATGAAGAAACTGATGGCCTAGTGCAAGAAGGTGACTCGTTCTAAATCACATGTTCCTAAAAGATAGCGCCTGCCTTTGAAAACCCAGGTCTGTGAACAGAGACAGATGGTAAAGAGGACAAGGACCAGGAAGACATGGTCACTGCTGGCAACCCCATGCTTGGTCACATGCCCTGTGGTTCAGAGGTCCACCTACCCTATAGAGGTAGAAGCCGATGGCGAGGTAAGGCTTCTGGTTGCGGTGCCTGTGCCTGGGCTTCTGGAGCAGGGACACCAGCACGCTGCAGGGCCTCAGGGATCTCCTGCCCTCTTCGGGCCTCCAGACAGACAGCAGGAACTGTGGGTTCTTCCAAAATGTGTCTGGGGCAGAACACAGCAAGGTGAGAATGGATCCTGTATCCCCAAGCATCTTGCTCACCAAACTACTAAGAGGTGAACAGTCTGAGGACAGCTCTGCCAGGATTGACACCCTGAGTCCCATCAGGACAGAGTCGGGGTCTCTTCAACCTTGGCTGTATGCCCTCCCTCCTTGCTCTTCCACCTGTAGGCTTCTCTAGACACACTGAGCTGGAGTTGTTCCCACCACTGCAACCTCTTTGTCTCGCTCAGTGCCTGGCCCAGGTATAAAATACATCATCAGGATATGTATTTTATTTACTCCGCAAGCATGTGCTATGTGAATAAACAACTGTCTTAACTCTCAGGGGAGGTGACCATGATCTTAGGGACCTTTGCATTTACTGGAGGCAAAAACCTTAGCTTAAGTTCGGCTTCAGACTTTGGGGGAAATACTGTCAAAAGGGGGACTCCAGAGCTAAGGCCACCCTGGCCCATCGGGGTCACACTCCACAGGCCTTGCCTTCAAAGGGGATGGCTCACTATCTCCAAAGTGGAGGAAGGGACACAGCCACCAAACCTGTCCCATCTTGCGAGTTCAGACGAGTTTGTCTCCCCTGCCTAGCGAGCCTGGGAAGCCCAGGGTTTGTGTTCCTCCCAAGCTCCAGGTGGGCAGGACCTGATGCAATTTCCATTTCAATCCTGCCCAGTTAGTGGGTGGTTACCTCAGTGTTTTCAGTGGCCTTCTCTAAAACTAAAGAAAGATTCTCCCTTGATCCTGCTTTTCCCATGCCTGTGTGCCTATGGCCCCTGGTGGTCACTAGGACAGGGCAACCCTCTGGGAAGATACAGCCCCACAGGCTGACGGCTTGACTGACAGGACTCTGTTATGGTGTACATTGGTACCACAGGGGCCCCGTCCTCCCTGTGGTCATAGCCCAGGGCCCCAGCACATAGTGAGACAAGCCAAGCCTCCTCTCCCCTTGGCTAATGCAGAATTCGTGCTGCACTCCCATGTGCAGTCACTCTCACACCCCCGCTCACAACGTCACCCCAAGAGCCCTGCTCCTGCGCATGCACTCACCCTGCAACAACTGCCTCCGGCCACCAGCTGTGCTCCCCTTCTCCCATCTCCCCTCCCGCATGGTGTATGTCCACTTCCGGGCCGCCTCCTGGGTCAACAGGCCTGGGGTCAGTTTACAGATGACCAGGAGCACAAAATGTTCTTTAAAGTCCTGCAGTGTCATCCTGTGGAGAGGAAAAAGGAACAGCACAAAGAGATGGACCAGATAATGCCTAGTCATCAGGACCGATGGGGAGGGTGAGACAAAGCAGTGGGCATCTCAGCCCTCTCATGGACAAAGACACCAGCTCTTGTGCAGAGCTGAGGTGGCCATCAGTACATGAACTGGGGCTGGCTAGATCCCTGTGAGGGTCCATTGTGGGGAGCTGGAGCTGCTGAGAAGCCCCACCCTCTGGCTGGAAGCAGCTGGCCACATGGCTGATGGGGGGAGATGTTCCTGTTTCTGGAATCATGGTGACAGCAGCTGAATTAGTGCATAGCTAACTAGTCATTTGTTTTATCTGTAAACGTTCAGTAAGAATTGCATATCAGTTCTTAATCATTAATTAATGAAGATGTTTGCCCCTACTTGCCAACTCATGGCCTGTGACATTCTGTTTAAACTGGCTCAGTTTACTTAACCAAAAAGTGGAAAAAACAGGAATTTGCAGGGCTTCGGTTCAGTGAAAGAGCTTCCAAAGGGAGAGGGCTGCAGCAGGCTGAACTGGATGGTTAATGGGAGGAGTCCTTGGAACAAGGGTTGACATTAACAGTAACAGTGGCAAACAAAAGCCAAGGGGAACAGATTGGGGCCCCTGTCAAACACCTAGAAGCAGCATCAGCTCAGAATGTCTTGATGGCCTTTCAAAAAATGAGGTGACCGCGTGTTCTCACTCGTAAGTGAGAGTTGAACAATGGGAACACATGGACACAGGGAGGGGAACATCACATTCCAGGGCCTGCCAGGGAGTGGGGGTATGGGGGAGGTATAGCACTAGGAAAAATACCTAATGTAGATGACAGGGTGATGGATGCAGCCAACCACTATGGCATGTGTATACCTATGTAACAAACGTGCATGTTCTGCACATGTACCCCAGAACTTAAAGTACGATTTTTAAAAATGAGGTGAGTAGCTCTGGAGTGGAAGTGTTACTCCGCTCTGGAGGGCCCTGGTCGGTGGGGCCTACCCTATGGCAAGACTTTGCAGTCTCTTCCTACCTCAAGGCCTTTTCAGGACAAAAAAGGCAAAACCTTTTTTGAATATATTGAGCAAGAGAGCAGAGGGGAAGCCAGAGAGGAGGAAACAGCCTGGCGGAGCCCTCCCTGAGCTCCACGCTAGTGGCCTCTGCTCTCATCACAGAGACGGACCATATATTTATAGAGGCTGTTTGTCCTGCTAGACCGTGAGTGCCTAATGGGATGGTGCCTTATTGATCTCTGTACATGAGGTTCCTGGCACCCATCCAATAAATGTCTGCTGGTTGGGTTTTCAAATGTAGGCCAGGACATTTGTCTAAGTCCCCAAGTCCAATACCAGAATTCTCCATCATTGTCTTTCCTCAGAAGCAGAATCTTCTCCTTGGGGCTCAGCAGCTCCCATTTACTTGAACTGAAAATAGAAAAGGGAATGAAAAGCTTGTGGGGGGCATGCTAGAAACTCTTTAGTAAAGGCTCTGTAGTGTCATTATTCATTATTATTTTCATGCTGCTTCAGACAACTGAATTTCCCATTCTATATTACACAGTAGCATGTAGCTTTCATTGATAGCTCACTATGAGCTAAGCACTGGGCTAGGTTCTTGACATACATTATTTCATTCAAGGCTAACAACAAAGTCGTTATTCTCATTTTAGAGGTTAGATAACTGAGTTAAGACAGATTGAGTCACTTGCTGAAGTCATACATCTATTAAATGTCAGAGCTAACATTTGAACCTGCATCTTTTCAAAGGCCATGATTTGAGCTTCTACTACTGGCCATGAAGGAGTAAGACTGTCCTGACAGCCTTCTACCATCAAGAAGTAAAAATGTGACAAAAACAGAAGAAGCTGTTTTCAGATGCTGGACAGCAGGCAACATGGGTCTGTGATCCCAGGAGGTTGGAAACAAATGAAGTGAGCCCTCGCATCACCTAGGCTTTCTTCCTGAAGATAATTTCCTGGTCACTGCTACAGGGAAAGGGACTCAAAAAAGAACATACAGGTCTGGCTGAGTGAAGGAGACAGAATCTGGAATTCGGGGAGATGAAGACAACCAGAATTTGCTGGGCAAAGCACCTGAGAGGAGGGGGCTCATAAAAAAAGAGTTCCAGGAACTTCAGAGGGGCTCCCTTGCACCTTTGGCTGAGATTTAGTCTGTGCTTTCTTAAAGTGAAACTCCCCAAGACTGGACTGTAAGCGGGACACAGTGCTGGGAATCTCATGCATTCCCACTAGACAGAGTTAAAAGACTTTATTTATTTATTTACTTATTTTTGAGACAGAGTCTAACTCTGCCATGTAGGCTAGAGTACAGTGGTGTGATCTCAGCTCACTGCAACCTCTGCCTCCCAGGTTCAAGCAATTCTCCTGCCTCAGCCTCTCAAACAGTTGGGATTACAGGCATATGCCGCCACACCTGGCTAATTTCTGTATTATTGGTACAGATGCGGTTGCACCATGTTGGTCAGGCTGGTCTTGAACTCCTGACCTCAAATGATCTGCCCCCTTCTGCCTCCCAAAGTGCTGGGATTACAGTTGTGAGCCGCTGTGCCCAGCCAAAAGACTTTGTTGAATATATGGAATCTTTACTAGCGATCCCAGAGGGTTTACAATTTAGTAGTAGAATCAAATTATCCCTGATATAAAGTTTGTCTTGACTCCCTAAAAGTGCTTCAAAACCTTCAAAGTATCAAAATCCCTAAGCAATGTAACTACTTACTTTAAAAAAGGTCCGACACTCTTTAAAGAAATACAATAAAATTCAGCACTCTGAAACTAATATTTACAATGTCCAGCATGCAATAAGAAGTTATTAGCCATATGAGGAAGCAGAAAATATGATCTGTGACCAGGAATAAAAAAACAGTCCATAGAAACTGACATAGACATGAGAGAGATGGTGGAATTAGCAGATAAGGACATTAAAACAGCTGTTATAAAAATGCCCCATATTCTCAAAGATGTAAAGAGAAACATGGACATAATGAGGGGGGAAATGGAAGATAATCTCAAGTGGAATTTCTAGAATTGAAAATATAATATTTAAAATGAAAAATATACTGAATGGGATTAACAGCAGATTGAACACTGTAAAATAAAAGCTCACCATTTTAATATTCACTATACCTCTGGATCCAATAAATTAAGAAGCTTGCCTAAACTAAGATCACACAGCTAAGAAGTAACAACAGTGTAATTTTACCCATCATCTATCTCTAATGTTAGTGCTTGTTCCCCTGTGAAAGAAACCGCCACCAGCAACATGATGCTAGATTTCTGTAACACTTTAAAATTTATGTATTTCTTGGGATGACAAGTTTTCCCACATAGACCCAGCTCCTCTAACAACTCTGTTTGCTAATGTGTAACAAATATAATGTAGCACATTCCATCAGGAGGAAAATTCAACTTGTTTGTCTAAGCCTTCACTTTTTTCACTATAAAAATGATTATGTGATAATGTGTATATGGACATGCTTGTATACTCAAAAGACCTGTACAGGATTAAGTACTATAAATCTTCATAATGACAGAAGGAAGGACTTTAGGACTTGACCTCCCTTTCTACCTGTGCCCTACAGCCAGTGTCTAGCCTGCAAAACCCACATTTCTTTAGGGCTACCATTAAGCAGAAACAACCTAAATGCCGGCATCGAATCAGAATGCCCAGAGGCTACTCTATGTAGTCAGAGTGTAGAGTCCAATCCAAATTTGTCTACTTTGACTCAGCAAACCCAGGAGTTTACTGAACCATGCCAGGGAAAGACACCGGACTCAGGCACCAAAGACCTTGGTTGAATCACGCTGTATGACCTTAGGCAATTCAATTAATCTAAGTTTCTCCATTAGTAAAATGGGGACAAAACTATATACTTGGTAATAGCGTTGTTTGGGGGATTAAATGAGATAATAAAAATTCAAAGGGTTTAGCACAGTGCTGGCAAGCCCGCAAATAAACATTAGCTTTAATTATTATAATGAAAGAGAAAGCAGTCTATATACCATAAAGCATCATAAATGTGAGGGATTGAGCATCCCAGTCTGAAAGCTTCCTGATCCAGCCTAAGACCAAAGGAAGCACATATTTGAATTTGTGTGCAAATGGCAGCCTCCTTTGCCTACACCTACCCATTCTCGCCCCTCCAAGATGTCCCCAAAGTTCACCTGTCACTCCAGTCTCCTTTCCATTCCACTTTTCCCCAGGGGTTCCGTAGCTTGACTAGATACTCAGGTCTATGTTTGCAGGTCACCTGCATAAAACGAGAGGCAGTTTAGGTGGCTGGGCTGAGTGCAAGTATTCCAGAGATCTGAGTGAGACTCGGGCCTGCAGCGGAGCACTTGCAATGGAAAATCACAGGTCCAGAGAGAGCTGATAAAGGAGAAAGTGGCTCTGCTCCTTGTACTTACAAGCTGTGAGACCTAGGGCAAATTGCCTAACCTCTCTGTGTCTCCGTTTCCTGATCTGTGAAATAAGGTCAATAGTCATACACATGGCAGTGGATATAATCATACCTGTGACCCTCCCCAAAGGGAATACATACACTCTGAACCTGTGAACACGACCCTATTTGGAAAAAGGATCTTTGCAAATGTAATTAAATTAAGGACTTGGAGATGAGATAATTATGGATTATCGTGGGCTCTAAATTCAAAGACAAGTGTCAGAAGAGAAGGGGAGAGGACACGGAGAAGGCCACGTGTAGACGGAGGCAGAGACTGAGATATGTAGCCTGAGCCAAGGAACACCTGGAGCCACCAAAAGGTGGAGGAGGCAAGCAGGGACTCTTCCCTAGAGCCTTCAGAGGGAGCATGCCCACCCACAGCTTGATTTCAGATTTCAGGCCTTCGGAACTGAGAAAATTAATTTCTGTTGTTTTTAAGCACCCCCTACCACCACCAGTTTATGGTAATTTGTTGTGCCAACCCTAGGAAACCCATAGACCTTGTGAAAAGAAAGTAAATCTTGGAACACCCCCCCACCACCACCACCACCAATCACTAATCTAAAGAGAAAAGTCAAGCTGGGAACTGCTTAGGGCAAACCTGCCTCTCATTCTATTCAAAGGCACCCCTCTGCTCACTGAGATAAATCCGTATCTGATTGCCTCTTTTGGAGAGGCTAACCAGAAACTCAAAAGAATGCAACCACTTGTCTCTTATCTACCTGTGACCTGGAAGCCCCCTCCCTGCTTCGAGTTGTCTTGCCTTTCCAGAGGAAATCAAATGTTCATCCTACATATGTTGATTGATGTCTCATGTCTCCTAAAATGTATATAACCAAGCTGTGCTCCAACCACCTTGGGCACATATGGTCAGGACCTCCTGAGGCTGAGTCACAGGTGCACATCTCAACCTTTGCTAAATAAGCTCTCTAAATTAACTGAGACCTGTCTCAGATATTTGGAGTTCACAGCCTTTTCAGGACAGTGCTGTGAGGATGAAATGAGTCCACATGTGTAAGGCAGTTAAAACAGTATTTAGCACGTAGTAAGTGCTATGTAAATTTTGTTAATAAATATGGAAACCAATTAAAAGCTCTAGGCACACACGCCAACATAGTTATTGGAGATCTAGAAGGAAGACGTTAAGTGTGAATTGAGTCCAAGAAATGTGAAACAGAGTTAAAGAAAATTGGAGGACTTGGGAGGAGTCGGGCTCTCTTGAGAATATCAGAGGTTCTTTAACTTAAACCTGCTGACTTCTTATCTCTATGCTTTACTTACACTGCTCCCTCCACCAGAATGCTCTTCTCACCCTGCACAAATCCACCCGTTTCAGGGGCCAACTAAATGTCACCTCCGCGTTAAAAGACTTTTCTGACTTCTCCCTAACCCAACTCAGTGGAGGTCTTTTCTCCCACCCATGAATTCCTAAAGCCTTTTATCTATGCTTTCCTTTCTGTTTCAACTTTGCTTCCTCCTCATTTTCAGATACGGTTTGTGACCATACCTGACTGTCAGCCCTTTGTAGGCAGGTCCTGTCTGGTGTATCTTCCTCTAAATGCCTAGTAGAACTCAAAAGATGGATAGTAATGGAAACTGTCATATGGAGACTGACATAAAGAAGTGTGTGAGAGAGTAGAAATTTGGGAGGGCAGAACCAGATAAAATGGTTGTTCTTGGCAGCCCAGAGTGAAGTAAAGTTCAAGGAAGGGTTGTGAGATACAGCAGGTGGGAGGATGGTTGGCTGAGGGCTGCCCCAGGGGATGAGGTTGGGATAGTGCATTGGCAGTGGCAAAGGCTGGACCCACCACTTTACCCCAGGAAATAGGTGCAGAGGCACAGGGACCCACCAAAGACTTTACCCACTCCCCAGGGGGTGCAGAAACTAAATCTACCAAGATGAGCTAGGGCCCAGAGAGGGAAGGGCAAGGCTGAGAGGGAAACCAAGGGGCTGACCTCAACCCACCTTCCTGATTCCTGTGAGAGTATATGCATGGCCATCCACCAGCCCGTTCTCCAGAACCTTCTCCTTCTGCAGAGACAAGAGAGGTCCTGATCAGTCTTCTGCTATCTGCAGCTTATTCTTTGAGTCATGGGAGGGCTGCTTGGCTGGAGCAGGGGTTTATGGAGAGAAATGTGGGAGAGAATCATGGTACGGACACTGCATTTTTCAAAGCTTTTTGGTATCCATAGTCTAATTCCACCCTCTCAATAAGTGATCCATTCTGCAGTGGTCATGTCATACCCTCCATTTTATAGACGACAATCTCCATTTAGAGTTGCATAATCAATGTGTGAGGTGACATGCTTGGCCATCAGTGAAGGAAGGGCTGACCTGAGGGCTTCCTACCCACGTTCCATGGTTTTGGCTGTTATCAAATAGGATGGAGAAAGTGCCTTGCGTGTAGCTGGCACTTAATAATTGTTAGCTTCCTGCTCTGCGCATCGTCTTCTTTTTCCGACTGCCTTGCCTGCCCTAATGCCTCAGTACTGCTACTCTGTATTTTTTTTGTTTTGTGTATGTGTGTGTGTGTGTGTGTTTTAAACACTCTCATTCTTGTTGCCCAGGCTAGAGTGCAATGGTACGATCTTGGCTCATTACAACCTCCGCCTCCCAGGTTTTAGTGATTCTCCTGCCTCAGCTTCCCAAAGAGCTGGGATTACAGGTGACCACCAGTATGCCCAGCTAATTTTTGTATTTTTAGTAGAGACAGGGTTTCACCATATTGGCCAGGCTGGTCTCAAATTCCTGGTCTCAAGTGATTTGCCTGCCTCGGCCTCCCAAAGTGCTGGGATTACAGGTGTGAGCCACCACACCTGGCCTTGCTGCTCTGGTTTGAGCACCAGGACCTCAGCAATAGGAGCTGGGTGGACGTCGTGAGCCCACACCCAGGGACAGCAGTGATGGTAGATGGAGAGCATGGGTGCAGAAGATGTTTTTCTGCCAATGCCAGCCCAGTCTCACCCCTGAGTGGGTCTGGCAGCCAATGAGGGTTCTGTGGTAGGTGGCTTTGGTGAGTAGGTCCCAGAGGTTGCCATGGGCTTCTGCCAGGTTGATGGTCATTGTCACCCCTCCAGTGAAGTCTACAAGGGCTTCAGACACCTGTCCAAACTGCAAGTCTTCATAGGAACCAGAGAGCCTGCCCAGGGAAGAAATAAACATGAGAGGAAGAGTATAGTGAGTGTTTATAATTTTATGTGGCCTTGGCATCCACTTTTAAATAGGAGTTTAATATTCTCATACCAAAAGCAGGGCGCAGGCAATGCTGACACAGTTTCCAATCCCACGCCCATCCTGAATGGCTCCGGCTGGTGGTCATAGGTAAAACTTAGAGGCATCTCTCCTGCCTAGAAGACTGGGAGCCTCTCTTTCCCACCACTTCCTTTAAATGGACAATTCAGATGTTTGTCTGAGATCTTAAAGTGACTGCCTGTCAGTCACAGCAAGATCTCCTAGAACTAGTGTCTGCTTGCTTTGAATCCATCAGTTAAATCTGCTTGAGGGAAACCCATTAGGACAACACCCTGGGCTCAAGAAAAGTTATGGGTCCACCACGGGTCCGTTTTCTCTCTTTCTGCCTGGGCTCCCTGACCTCCATGTGCAAGTGTGCGTGTGTGTGCAAGTGTGTATATGTGTGTGTTTGTGCATGTGTGTGTGTGTGAGTGTGTGTGTGTGTGTGTGTGTGCCCTCCATACATGCCAGTACCCTCTAGGGTCTGTAGGTATGAAAAACTCTTGAATTTTCATATTGTGGCTGTATCATTGAAGCTGCGCCCACAATCCGGTCCCTGATGTTCAGGTTCAGACCACCCCACCGGGACCCAAGCAGGTGGATCCCCTGCTGCTGCTCCTTCATGCAGGCCTCTCAGCTGCTGGGGACAGTAGTGATTAGCAAGGCTGAGAAAGTTTCATTCAAAACAAAGGAAGGGGCATTTAAACTGTAGATTAGATTGTCTGAATGAGCAGTGAAGCCTTTGCTTAGGTATTCTTTGGGTGTATGTTGCTACTTCTTCCTTCCACCCCAGGAGCAAAGGAGAGAATATACACTCAGAGTTTCGATTCTCCTTAATTCCATCCATTAGAGAAAGGCAAAACTCTTGAATGCAGGTTTTGATGAGGTGACCCATACACAAAAGACTCTGAATACATTGTCACTTCTATGTCCGCTGAGACATGCCTCAGGATGTCATTTCATAAACTTTACCTGACTCCACTCCGCTCCCTCAACATTGAGAGAGAGAAAAAGAAGCGATGTAAAGGGGATATTTCTGCCGGTTTCTTACTTGGCATAGGCTTTTTCCAGAAGTGCGCCCCAGAACAAGTTCTTGTAGGTGGAGGAGACAAAGACCAGCTGGCCAGCTTCATTCACAGGCAGACGGTCATCGATCACCACAGGAACCCAGTTTCCGTAGTGCCAGAACTGGAGGGAGAGAGTGGCCCCTGATGAATGAGGACTCCTGCAGATGGTGGTGAGCCCAGAAGGTGAAGACATGGTCCTCCAGAAACCCTCTTTCCTATGGTTTCCTCCGTCCCAAGGCCCTGGAAAGACACTCACCCAGAACTGGAAGATGCCAGCATAATTCTCAGTGAAACTCTGATTCAGGGGAACAACCCGGCTCAGAATGTCCTGTTGCAAGCTCAGAGCTTGCAAAGCAGCCAAGAACCAGCAGTCTCCTAAGTCGGACAGCACACAGCATCTGCATGAATCTATCAGGGACTTCATACCTGCAGGAAATGCCTGGTCCCAGTGGCTACCCTCTCTGGGCTAGCAGCCTAGTTTAGGAGAAGAGAAGTATATACTGGGCAGGCAGATGATGAGTCAGCAGAGCGGAGCACTGGGAGCACTGGCTGAAATCCAACTTGACTCCAAAATCAGAGCTATGGTCCTGGACCAGCTTTTAGATTCCTGAATGCCCTATCCTCAGGAATTTGGACCTGAACATCATCCCCCTTTTCCAAATCTTGCCTCTGAAGCTGATTTATGTTCTTCTGAGAAAGCCTCAACCCTTCGGGACCCCATATCCCTGTCTATGATATGGATATCACTGGACTTGGGCCTTCCCTGATGACCAATTTACTATTTTTAAAAAGTAGAGTTGAGGGTAGGTCTGCTTTGATCCTGTTCTGGGAAGCTAATGGCTGCTATCTCAAGAAGGCCCCACTGTGGGAGCTAAAATAGAGTGAGCGCATTTTCCAAACTTAAAATTTAGACCTGTCAACTGGTAATGAGGACGATGTGAGGACTTAGGCAGGATATGGCATTCCCACGCATCCTCAGAGGACCAGCTTTTCTAAACTTCACAGCAAAGAACAGAGCCTGTCCAGGTGGTGTTCAGAGTTTGCCAATGAATAACCATTTCTGGGGCTCTCTCCAGCGGTGATCACTGGATTCTCTTCTTTATCATCCACTCTGTCTTGGCCAGGCCTGGCCAGCAGGCAGCCTGGTGTGTGGTCTCTGGAGGCTGTGCACACTTACCTACAATGCCCTGGCACAGATCCAGCCTTTTAGCCTTGCCAGAATAAAACTGGGGATTGCTGTGCAGCTCCTAGGGGAAACAAATAGAACTGTCATTCTGACCTAGACCAACAAAGCTCCTGGAGCTACAAGGACCATGTTTTCCCATACCCCAAAACTAGACTTAGGGGGACACAGATACAGAGTACATGTGAAATCAGTGCTATCCCACAAGATCTGGGATACGCAATTCTGTCCTTTGTATTTCTCATTCCTTCTCATAGCTCGTATAAGTCAGAGCCCTTGAGGACTCTGTGTAGATACTGAGGGATTCTCAGTTTTCCTAGAGGTCTTCTCTTTCTCCTTTTTCTCCCTGATTCCTCCTTCCTATTCCTGACCACTATGATGGTCTCTTCGGCTTTTCCTGCTGAGATGCAGCCTCTAGTGGGGTGGTAAGGGGGTGGCCTCTCCTCCATGGCAAGATTTAAATCCTTCAGTCTTTGCGTGGACACAGTCTCCCCAAGAGTCAGGTATAGAACAGAGTCTCTGTGTCAGCAGTTCACAGGATTTCCATGTAGCGTAGGAGGCTCACTGAATAATTTTACACACAGTAGGGACTTCATAAGTCTGGGGCTGAAGGTATCAATGGTGATGCCTGAGTGGGGAAGAGTGAAGGAAAGTGTCTGTGGCATAGGCTTACACAGGCTGTTTGCTAGCCGTGTTCCTGAAACCCTGTATGTAAATCAAGCTTCAGGGAGATGGATTACATTCGAACACATTAAGAAGTTGCTTTTTAAAGGAATTGATGTATTTTATAAAGTGAAGAATACTTCTGTAAAGTGATTAATAGCTTCTTAATTTACATGTTTCATGAGCCTGCTTTGGGGGGAGGAGGTTGGAGATATGTTAAAATGTATCTCTCTGGCAGATGGTATTGGCTGTGACTCAGGAAGCCTTGCCATCTCAGATGAAGCTAAACAGTACCTTGATGTATTTTTGGCTCTAGTTGCTCTGCATATTTCTGGGCAGGGCTGAGGGAGAGCTACATCTTACACCACTCTCAAAATCACCCCTGGTTTTCTCCATCTGGAAAGTGAGAATGTGGGAACGTACCCAGTTCCCTTCTTAGCGAGATCAATGACAGTAAGACCTGGTGTGATATTGTGAAATATATATTTGGTCTCCATTTGCTCAGTTCTCTGACATTCAGCTCCTAAAGCCTCAGCAACCTCTAGATTGATAAGAGTGTCCTTTGTATGCTAATGATTGACCGGTGGCTGGTGTTCCCTGGATAGCTTCAGGACAGGGTCTGGCCATTGAAAAGACCAAGGCAAGGATTAGAAAGTTGGGACATTTAGCCCTACCCCCTGGCCTCTGGGGAGGTGGGGGAATCTGAAGGTTGAGTTGATCACCAAAGGCCAATGATGTAATCAATCACGCCTAGGTAATAAATCTTCCATGAGAACCCAAAGGACAAGGCGTAAGGAGCTCTGGATATCTGAACACACGGAGGTCCCTGGAAGGTGGCATACCCAAGGAGGGCATAGGAGCTCCACACCCCTTCCCCATGCCCTGCCTTATGCTTCTCTTCTACCTGGCTGTCATCTGCAACCTTTGTAATGCCCTTTATAATAAATCATTAAATGTAAGTGAAGCATTTCCCTGAGTCCTGTGAGCCTCTCTAGCAAATTAATCAAGCCCACGGAGAGGATCGTGGCAGCCCTGATTTATGGCCGGTCATGAGAAGTACAGGTCACAACCTGGGACTTGTGATTGGCATCTGAAGTGGGGGCAGTCTTGTGGGATGTGCACTCAACCTGTGAGATCTGACACTGTCTCTAGGTAGACAATGTCAGAATTAAATTTCATTACAGAATACCCACATGGTGTCCACTAGAGAATTTCTTGGCATGTGGGGAAAGCCTCCCACACATCTGGTGTTAGAAGAGTATGTTGTGTTGAGTGGAGAGTAGAGAGCAGGAAAAAGCCCTTTTTTCCTCCCATATATCTTATATATCCGAACGCCCTAAACCCTGGGGCAGGAGGGTCTGCCTCACCGGGGGCCTCTTCCACTGTAGGCGGGGTGGCAGCTTCTGCAGCAAGGACCTGCTGCCGATGGAGCTCAGGGTGGCTGGGAAGCTGGTGTCTTCAAAGAGGCAGCCATTCCTCAGGCACTCTGACAGTAGGGCCTCGAAGTCCTGATCGGGAAGCTGTGGAGAGGCCTCTCTAGAGTCCCTTGGACCCGGCTTCCAACTGCATCGGAAAGGTGACCACAGAGACATGGCAGGCAGTGGGTACAGTCCTGTGAGTCTTCCCGAGGAGTCTCTGCTACGCCTGAAATGGAGCAAAGACAGTCAGTTTCCTCACTAGCTGCTTGTGCTTTGCCATTGCCGCAGAGAGGAGGGGAAGGATGGAGAGAATGGGAGAGGAGAAATCAGCGGGTGAGAAAGAGACAGAAGCAGGTGGTTCGATTTTGTCCCAGACAGTGAGGGTCCTTGAGCACTTGCTCAAGTGCATGAGGACCTGGTGGGGGATCAGGGATCCTGTGGCAAAAGCCTGCAGAAGGGAGAGGTCTCTCAAGCCTCAGGGCTCGGTCCCGGGTCCCTGACTGCGCCAATGTCACAGGGGTCGCTTCTGCTTAGTGGGGAGGCAGGAAAGAGAAGCAGGTAGCCGGAGCTCAGTCACCTGAGCTGGAGGGTCCTGTGCGTGCCAAGGTAGTGGGGAGCAGTGGCTGCCTGCTCAGGCCTCCACCAGGGCCTGCCCACTCCTGCCTCCTAGCTACAGACACACGGAACTCCTCTTGCTTCAATGTCCTTCTTATTCTTTTCTACAAAACTTCCTTCTACATTATCTTTATTTTATTTTTATTTTTACTTTTTTGAGACAGAGTCTCATTCTGTTGCCCAGGCTGGAGTGTGTAGGGGCACAATCTCGGCTCACAGCAACCTCCACCTCCCAGGTTCAAGTGATTCTCCTGCCTCAGCTCCCGAGTAGCTGGGATTACAGGCACCTGCTACCATGCTCAGCTAATTTTTGTATTTTTAATAGAGATGGGGTTTTGCCACATTGGCCAGGCTGGTCTTGAACTCCTGACCTCAAGCGATCCACCCACCTTGGCCTCCCAAAGTGCTGGGATTACAGGTGTGAGCCACTGTGCCCAGCCTACATTCTCTTTAAAAAGAACTCCTTCCTTGAAGACTCTCTTGGTAATATAAAAGGGGGAAAAATCACACGTATATATTGTGGTACATACCAACAGTTGCCAATACATGCCCATTCTCCCTTTTTCCTTGTTAACAGAATCCCTGTTTTGATAACCCAGCTACAAAACTTGATTTCCCGGAGCTTCCTGCAGGACAGGTTGGCTACACAATATAGTTTTTCACTTTACAATTGCAAAACCACCAATCTTATCTAGCCTCCCTCTTCTCCACCGCACATTTTTCAGGTGTTACAACTGAAACCTGTCCATTCATTCACCAAAAATTTTACTGGGAACTTGTTATTTGTCAGGGTGAGCCAGGCATTGCTCACTGAAGACAGTCCCTGCCCTTATGGCTCTTACAGTTTAGAGGGTGGAAGGGTGGGAAGGGTTAAATGATCTTCCTGCTGCTATTGAGAGAGATTTGAAAAGGGCTGTATCCAGAACCCAAAGCCCTGGCTCCCATAACATTCAGCTCTCAGTGCTACAAACTGCCCATTGCACCTAGCACAGCGTTTGGTACAGAATGTACACGCACTAAAAGTAACTCGCAAACATGCTTATAGTGAGTGTGAGTACTCCCTCATGGCTGTAGGAGTGACCTGGAGTCCTCTCCATTTGTCAAGGTCCTGCCTATCCCCCAAAGTCTAACTTGAGTCTCTGCCCCAGGAAGCCCTCCTTGAGTGCCTGGCATTCGCTGAGATCCCCTTGTTCTGTCTACTGACCCACTGTCTACTCCACAGGGCACCCTACTGTCTTGGTGCTTCTCGAATCATCACTAGTGAAGGGCCTATGTTCTTTTATTTCCAATTTGTCCTGTGCAAGGGGCTCAGATCTGTAATCCCAGCACTTTGGGAGGCCAAGGCAAGCAAATCACTTGAGCCCAGAAGTTCAATACCAGCTGGGCAACATGGCAAAACTTCTTCTCTACATAAAAATACAAAAATTAGCTGGGCATGGTGGTGCATGACTGTAGTCCTAGCTACTTGGAAGGCTGAGACAGGAGGATCACTTGAACCAGGAGACAGAGGTTACCGTAAACAGAAATGGTAGCACTACACTCCAGCCTGGGCAACAGAGCAAGACTCTGTCTCAAAAAAAAAAAAAAAATAGATTAAACAGAAATTAAATTAAAATTGTTTGATAAATTGCTATAAAAGTTTCTAAACACTTGCTCTCAGTTTTGTACATAGCTCATCAAGCACTGCTGGTGACCAGTTGATGGAGTGGCCCCACTCTGGTTCTGCTCTGAGTGATGCATGCACAGAAGCCTCTTCTGCCTAATACTGGCTTTTTAATCCCTTGCAGAATTAGCACTGCTGGAATGTTGTTTGTCTCACACCCTTACTTCTGAGAGCTAAGGGCAGTTGATTCATGGCTATTCTTATTTGTCACGGTGCCCGCATACTTCCTGGGGGAAGACCCAGCTCTCTTCTAACCCAGGTCACAGAGACTCAAAAGCTATTACTCAGGTCTTATGTTTTTCCCTGTTTTTTTTTTTTTTTTTTTTTTAATGTGGAGGAGTAGGCAAACCTCCACCCAGGCTTACTCCATTTTCTTCCCAACAAGTTCCTTCTGCCACCTGTACATTTATAAACAAAGTTGAGGCCTCACAAAGGCAAGGTCTCCCTTTACGCCCCTTCAAGCCTTAACAACAATCCTTTACTGCTTGTTCCATGAAAAATGATAGAGGGTCCCCTAGCTTCAGAAATTCACCCAGGCTCATACCCGCCTTACCCAGTGCTGGGTCAGACTTAGATTTCTCCCTAAGTTTGCAGATACTACATATCATGACAAGCACAGTATATTATGGGCTCAGAAGACAAAATGCCCATCGTGAGTTCCTCCCACCCTCCAAAGTTTAGAATGAGGCTACACGTGTGCATGCATGCATGCGCTCAAGTACACACACACACACACCTGATTTTTAAATAAGTATTGCTAAGTCACCTTATGGAGAATATAGGCCCAGATGAAACCAGTTGGCAGTTCTTGCATGTTTCCTATACGTTACAAACCATGGATGAATTTGGTTCATTCCCAGATTGGCACAGCTCTCTGCAAAGGACCAGATGGGTCTTGGTCACATTTGGAAATTCATTTTGACTCTATTGTAAGCAAGCAGCGTTGGAGCAGGTCCACAAAATAAGACTACGCAAATAGATAGGGGAAGTCTAATGGGGCTCGAGCTATTTAAGAATGTTCAGCCTAAAAGCATCCTCCATGGGCCTCAGAGTTCTTTCCTTGGCTCCCCACAAGCTGCTAGGCTGTTCTGCAGTGTTTTGCATGTCGGGATTAATTCTTTTTACTAGAGACAGGGTCTCACTCTGTCACCCAGGCTGGAGTGCAAGGACACTATCATAGCTTACTGCAGTCTTGAACTCTTGGGCTTAGGGGAGCCTCCTGCTTCAGCCTCTTAAGTAGTTAGCAGTTAGGACTACAGGTGCATGCCACCATGCCCACCTAACTTCATATTTTTTTTTTGTAGAGATGAGATCTTGCTATGTTGCCCAGGCTAGTCTCTAACTCCTGGCCTCAAGCGATCCTTCCACCTCAGCCTCCCAAAGTGCTAGCATTACAGGCATGAGCCACTGTGCCTGTCCAGGATTTATTTATACTCGGGAAGTAAAAAGAAGGAAAGAAAGAAGGAAGCATAAAAATCAGACAGTAAAAAAAGACTATTATTCACAGAAGAGATTATTTTACATATCTAAATATTAAATATTACATATTAAAATATCTAAGAAAATATTTTTTTAAACTATAGGAAATAGAATTCAAGAAGGTCAATGAATAAAAGTTAAATACACTATACAGAAACTCAGTGGTCTTCTTTTTACAACAGCAACAACCAACTAGAAAATGTATCAGGAAAAAAAAAAAACGAGCTATTCTTCATAGCAACTCAGGTTCCTAGTTTGAGTAAACTGGTGCCATTAATCAAATACAGAGTCAATTGGAGGCTCTGTGAGCAAAATGATTTTAGATACAATCTTCATAGACAAATATGCAATCACCAATGAAGTTGTGTATAGATCATGGCGTCAGTATTATTAAATGCACACACACACACACACACATAATGGGAAGAAAATACACATAAATAAGAATATGAACTGTGTCTGGATAATGTGACTAAGACTTTTGTTTTTCTTTATTATACTTTTCAATATTTTCTGGACTCTCAATTAGTATGTATTACTTTTATTATGAGAAAAAATGTGTTTAATAAAAATACAATATTTAAAAAAAGCAAGTCAGTGGTTACTTGGGGCTGGGAGGCGGAATTGCCTGGGAAGGAGTAAAGCCTAACTTTTGGGGTAATGGAAATGCTCTATACTGACTGTGGTGGTTGCATCTGTATATCTGTTCATCAAAACTCAATGAACTATACACAACACTCTTAAAAACATGGACAGGCGTGGTGGCTCATGCCTGTAATCCCAGCACTTTGGGAGGCTGAGGTGAGTAGATCACAACATCAGGAGTACAAGACCAGCCTAGCCAAGATGTGACACCCTGTCTTTACTAAAAATACAAAAATTACTCAGGCGTGGTGGTGGGCCCCTGTAATCTCAGCTACTCGGGAGACTGAGGCAGAGAATTGCTTGAACCTGGGAGGCAGAGGTTGCAGTGAGCCAAGATCGTGCAACTGCACTTCCAGCCTGGGTGACAGAGCGAGACTCAATCTCTAAATATATTTTATATATTTGTGAAAAAAAAATATATATATATGTGTGTGTGTGTGTGTGTGTGTGTGTGTATATATATATACACACACACACATATATATATATAAATTTTAATGCCTAATACAGTAAATATCAATAGATTTAAGTCACATAAACAAAAGCTCTTTGGAGTCCTCAATAATTTTTAAGAATGTGAGGTGTCCTGAGTCCAAAATTTTTGAGAACTTTAACCCAAGTTACGTTCAGTTGTAGGTTTCACTTCACATCCCAAGATGACAAAAATTCTAAACAGCACAGAAATACAGTAACCATATTTTTTGGGAGGTGATAAAAAAAATTCCAAAATTGATTGTGGCGATGGCTTCACAACTCTGTGAATACACTAAAAATCACTAAATTGCACTCTAAATGGGTACATTATATGGTATATAAATTATATC